AGAGATAACTACAGTATATCTCTTTCATGATTATAGCCATAATGCTATATAATGAAGAATAACATTATTTTTCATTACAATAACTGATGTTGTGGGCTTTTTACTGAGGTTCCTTAGCTCATAAAGTTGCTATGTGGCTCTGCAACAGGTTTGGGTAAAAACATCTTGCTTTGCCAGGAGTCATTATCTGCTGCGTGTTTTAAATAAATCATTTTTCTGTGACCCAGTGAACCAGTACTGTTCCCAGTGTGGATTCATCCTACCAGGAAAGATCTCCTCTGTGACAGCTGCCCCTCCCAGGACATGTCTGCGCTCCAGCACAGCTGTCTTCACCCCTCCCTTCTGAAGATAGGCGGCCTACACACACACACACACACACACACACACACACACACACACACACACACACACACACACACACACCCGTTATCACATTTACCCTCTTGTCGGATGGTATAGGTGTGCAGACTGAACAGCAGGTGTTGGGAAACAAATGCGTGAACTCACTGCCACCAGCCCATTGTGTCCTGCAAAGAAGACATATTTTGCACATGAACAGCTTTTAATTTGTGTTGTGCATCTTGTAGTTGAGTCGTGCAAGCTCAAGTTTGCAAAACTAATTATTAAACACTACTGAACTAAAGAAAAACCAACTGACAACTTTTGGAAGATTAAGGCTTTTTTTTTTCACCACAAATTTTGTTTTCAAAAGCCTTTTTAATGTTTCTCACCGCCTCCGATGACCAGCGCGTCATAGCAGGGTTTTAAAGCGGTGTGATTCGACCTGGATCCCGACAGAATCCACAGCAGATTCTTAGCCCGGGTCCCTCGATCCGTCCATGTCGCTGCAGCCATTGCAGGAGCTTTCAATTATCTGACGTCGCCTCGTCCTGACCTGCGCCTCGCATCCAAATCAGAATCAGACCCTTTAAATCGGTAGGTCTGTCCCCAGACAAAGCTTCCAAAAGAAGGCGTTTCTGATTGGACAAGCACTAAAACGGGCCGTTTTTTTAAGGATCCGATTGGATGAGATTAACTTCCGTCATTCCATTTTTTTTTCTTTTCTTGCGCTAACTTTCTTCTCTTTCCCTTTATTTTTTAGTTTCGCGGGCTTGCTGTATTAACCCCGGGTCTCAGAAGACTTGAGGACTTTAATATAATAGTAGCAGGGAGATTGTGTTAACAGGTGTTAGCTGTTAGCGGTGTTTTCATAACTTTTCCTCCCGCTTCTCTTAACAGAGAACGTCCGGTTACATTTCAAAATAAGAGCATCAACATGAATCTCATATAAATTAACTGGCAGCGATTTTTCAGATTATTCACTACTTATAAGTAGTGAATGTTAAATGTTGACACCGTGCCATTACATGAAAAGCTAAATCTGCTTTTGTGTGGCCAGCACCACGAAGAAACAAGAAACTCGTTTTATCATTTTAATTTGTAAGAAATGTTCACAACTATGTATCCTTTCAGGCCCATTTCGCTATGAAAACGTTTGCAACGCAGTAACTGCAGTGAAGTAGCAGATTATGCTGTAAATATGCAAATGACCGCCAGGGGGCACATTGAAACCATAAAAACTTATTCATAAAGCTTTGAGCTTTTTTTTAGTCAGTCACAACTGATTCATATAGTGCAGCGTGAAAGTAGTTAATTGTTATAGATGTGGGGTTACTTTGTAGTTTCTTTTTATTTATTGTACTGAATTTTTCATTCAAAAAAAAAAAACATGAAAGGTTTAATGTGAATAGAACACCTGTTTCCCCAATTGTGTGTGATATTCTACATTTTCAGTTTCTTTTCTAGGGTAAAATCATATGTAGCAAAGCATTAAGCATTAAAGTTTTTAAAAGCAATCATTTCACAGCTTGTCTGGACGTGTGCGTAAATCATGTCAATATATATAAGAGCCAACCTTGAACACTTTAAGAAGAACTCTTAACACAAAATGCTTTCCGAGTGCTGCTGTTAAAGATGTCATCTTGGCCTAGTGGTTCTTATGTGATACATTAAAGAGATAAGAGGTCATAGATCATGATGTCCATCTACGAGCTGCAGTTTGGCTGGAGGAGCCGGAAATTGCTTGGTAAGATCTACTTTAATTGGTGTAAAAATAACCAAACACAGCAGAAGTTAAGCAAGTTAGAGTATCCATAGGATTTTCACTGTATTTTGCTTAGACAGTGTAAAATAATTCCTGAGGTTTGCATAGATTGTGCACTCTCTTGGTAGGGGGCAATGAAATGGGATGCGATGGGTGATCTAGAGTTTCCTGAAAGAATTAAAATGCATCCCCCTTGGCGTATTAGACCAGCATTAGTTTCAGGGAAGAGAAATGATCCTGATATTGTGTCTGCTCGGTTTTCCTTAAAGGAGCGTCTGCGGCAGCGACCAATCAACCGTAACTGGATCAGACGATCCAGGCAGGAGATTTTGTTCTTGTAAGCAGAAATTAACACTTCATTCCCCTTTGTCGGCAGAAATTCAACACTGCAGCCCTTGAAGGCTCTCTCAGTCAATAAAGGGCCAAAATCTAATTAAGCTGGAACAGCTCCGCACCAAAACACAATTACCCCTCTTTGGTAAAGACAAAAAAAAAAAAGAAAAAAAAATTTGCCTCCAGGCAAATGCATTCCCTTGTGGAAATGTTACGTGTCTCAGCATTTATGCACGGAAATCATAAGGTATTGTTTCAGAGGACTCTATAAACGGTGCAGAATGAACACTTATGGATGAGGAAGTCGATCGGTTTTAACTCTCGGGTTTATTTGGATGAATAGCGACCAAAAGAAATCTGGCGATTTGGGAGAGATGCAACTGACACTGAGAAACTTTTTATGATATCCATCACCTAAAAATAAAAGAAACAGAAATGAGAAACAATAAACTTCCATTTAAGAATGACAAATAGAAAGAGGTCTATGAGTTATGATAGTATGAGCACTAAATAAAGAAAGTGAAAAAGTCTTCAGTCATCCTGGGGTTTTCTGGGAGTGGCCTACTGGGACAGAGAAGGAGAAGAATGTCTGGCTTTCCCAGATGGATGTAAACAATGGGTGGGTGGGTGGGAAGGCTGGATAGCAGATCACCATACAAGTAAATGTATAAATCTGACCAAAGTTATAAACTTATGAAACATCACAAATGTCGACGCTGATATTAGCTCATTTCTAATGTAAAAAATTTTGATTAATTTCTAATGTAAAAAATTTTGATTAATTGCATTTTGCTGCACACTGCTGCTTCATTCCAAAAAGATAAGAAGGTCCTAGGTTTCGATCTCAATTCTGTCCCTTCTATGTGAGTGAAATGTGTGTGCTCCACACAACCTTGACACAGCAGAGATCAGATGGAACCACTTTCTCAATTCCTCCCACCGTCTAAAACCATGCACAGCAACTGGATTGGCCACTCTGAATTGTTTACCAGTGGAGTATGTGCAGAATTGATTGCACTTTGGGTGTCTGTGTTCCCCTGTGATGAATTTGAACCCATTGAGGGTAAACCCTATTGAGTGCTGATGATAGGGATCAGGCTCCCAGCAGCACTACAGGGATCACACTAGCAAAGAACATAAGTGGGTTCATTTTTGATGCTTTGGTAGTTACTTTTGCCTGTTGAGAAATTAGTAAGCTGCACATAAAATTGATTCATGACCTCAATACTTTGCATTTTTTATGTTAGTTTCTTAATTCAATTAATGATTACAAGCATATAGAGAGCAAAGTAAGTTTTAAGATAACTGGTGTGTAAAACGTCTTAAATGACTCTTTGATTCATCCGTCATCTATAAACGTTTGTCCATGCTGACCTGGGCATGCCTCCGTTTATCATAGGGAAAAGAAATCATGGTTTTTAACAAAATCACATATTGCTAATTGTATTGACGCACCTGTAAATTTCTTAAATATGAATGCAAGTGAAGTGGTTTTTAATTTCATTTTTAACTTTTTAAGTTAAAACGAGTTTTTTAAATTAACTTATTAATATGAATCCATGTCCCTCTGTGTTGTGAATATAATAAAACATTTTGGTTATTTGGTGATTTTATTTTTTATTATTTTATCTCTTTTAGCACCACACACAGTAAGAAGAGTAGTAGAAGAGGTAAAAAACTCAAATCTCCAAAGATCACTTTTGTAGAACTGCACAAAAGTGTTGCTTCTTGGGGCCACCAAGTTATTATTACAGCCAATTGAATGTGTAATGTCAACCAGCTGTGTGGAAGGAATGCCAGTAAAAGGTTATTTTGTACTACCATTACAAATGTAAACATGTGAAGTTTATCGGTGCTTTATCTGGACTCATATGCTTTGGTCAGATGAGACTCAGTTTTAGTTTTTGTAGCAACAAAAAACCTGGTGACCAAATTTACACAGAAAGTGTTCACAGCACACAAATATGACTTTTTTCCATGGCCATTTCAGTCCTCAGATATGCACTGAAAACTTGTGGATCGAGGTGAAGAGGGAAACTTAAGAGAACTGTAGATGATCTAGACTTTAATGATTGTACAAAGAGGTCAAAGGTCACTCTCCCTGTAAGGTTCAACCTTGTCAAATATTATAGAACAATAACTGTTGTCCTACTGGCAACAAAGTTCAATAGTGCCATTGAGCAATTATTTCCTTAACATTTCCCCTGTTGAATGAATGTCTTGAAATTGAAGGGTGGACCCTTAGATTTTTTTTCTGGTGAAACTGGTTTGAGAACAATAAGCCAATTGTGGCAAATAAAATAGTTTCCTGTGTAAATTTTAGAATTAGATTTAATTAAAATTTTTAAATGAAACACATCTTAGTGGAAAATGTGAGTAAAGCTTTTATTTATCTTGTCTTAGAAGTTTGTTCGTTTTAAATATGCATTTTAAACGGGCAGAAATGTGTGAAAGATACTTTTTTTTTAAAGTAAAAGTTTACAACAAACGTCATGAGTGGCAGGTCGATCAGCCAATAGCAATTACTTCCTCATCCCGCTGTATACACTGGATGTAGGCGTGCAAACTCCTCGACCAGTACGACTCCCCCCTGCTGGGCTCTGTTTGGAAACGACAGAGGCGGGGACGGAGAGTCGTAACACCGGGACGAGGAGCCCCTCGGGAATGTGAAAGTCCAGGCCTTAAATCCCCGCGATAAGACTTTACGTACTGCCCCGTTTCTCATGGAAACAGATGGATTTGTGAGGAAGCGTCGGATGACAGCGGAGACCGCAGGCGGTGATGCCGGGGTTGCAGGAGCCTCAGCTGGGGCAGAAGTTCGATGGCTCGGGGGCAGATTCTGGGGAGTTTCAGAAAGTATTGTGAGCAGCCTGACGCCGCGTATCGGGGGGGAGTCGCAGCTGCAAAATGCGGACGTTGTCTGCGCGGCTCAGGATGCACAAGCAGAGGACTCGGAACCTGACTATGAAGGTCTGCCACAAGGAGCATCTACTAGTACCCACATGTTGGCAGGCGCCGTGGCTGGGATAATGGAGCACTGCCTCATGTTCCCCATCGACTGTGTGAAGGTAGCACGGCTCAACGGCCAATGACTGAACCACCACTTTTTTTTCTTGAATGAAGAGTGCTTTCACATCACGGTTTCTGTTTGTTTTCTTTGGGTGTTCTCTGTGCAGCCTCCATGTTTGCTAGCTTAGCTCTTTAGCTAACACGCTGCAGAGCCGTGACGAAGGTCAGCTGGCTCGGTTGTATTTTCCAGTATTGGCTAACTTGTTAGCGTGGCGTTATATTGGTAATTAACCGACGTTTGCTTTTGTGGGTTTTACACCAACACTGACTTCAGCAAATTGCGTCTGTTTGATTACATCTTTTTAACTTAAAGCGTAGCTGCTGTCAGAACTTGAGCGGAGAACGTTACAAAACTGCTAATACGTCACGAGCGAGCTACGGCATCCTGGACGGCCAAAGCAGGACACTGTGCAAAACGCATTACTCAGGAAGTCACGTGCAGTACAAAGGGCATATTGTATTGTAGCAACAAACTTAGCAAAACACAAGTTTATAAAACAGTAACCCGATGGAGTGCTCAACGGAACAGAAAATACAGTCAAACTTTTTCTTTACAAGCTAGTAGATGTTGGAAAACCTTTTGAAAAATGTTTGTAGAATCTGTTTTCAATGAAAAGGAAAATACTAAAATTAAGAGACACACTTTAAAAGCTTCCCGCACATCCGGTGAAAACATATTTAGCAGTTTAGAAATACTTATACAGTAATTAGACACCGGTCATAGTGTACAATCTAAAAGAGCAGCACTGAATTAAGTCACACATTATTTTAATTTACAGAGTAAATATAAGGTTTTTTTTTACTGTGTGAATTACATTCCAGCCATTCCTCGAATGTTGAATAAAAAAACCTAAAAATGAGGTCAGCATGGTGGTATATGGTTCTTCTAAACCATGGAGGATCACAGATCATAGACGATGACTGCAGCGTTATTGTCATTGCATGTTGTTTATCAGTTCGGCACATTCAGAAGCAATGGGGCCTATGTACGTTTTTCTGTTCAGCTTGTATACTGTGATTACCTTCACTTTTGGTTTACCAAGCCAGTCGGTCCTCAGAAATCCCACTTGAACAAATCAGAAATGACTGAGAGAGAATTCATATTTTTTCTTCTGTCATGTGAACCATTCCTCAAGGTTTCCCTCGGTCCTACTGGGGCCGTTTCTGTCCAGGCTAAATATGCATTTAGAGGACTTGCCACATCTGATGTGCTTTTGTGCACATCAGATGTGCACAAAAGCACATCTGAATTGTGTGCACCAACAGCACACAATTGTGTGGATGAATCGTGTGCACCAATTCATCCACACATTGGTGTGGATGAATTGGTGCACCAACAGCACAAAAGCACATCAGATGTGGCAAAGAGCAGAAAAAGCTGAATTATTAGTCATTTTTCTACTTACTTAAAATACTTGAAGGTGTAAAAGAAGTGCACGCAAATTTTATGCTCATTTATGAAAGTTTTACACAGTTGAGCCAAAATGAAGTTTGAGTAAATTCTGGGTCCTCTTTGGTTTGCTCCTGCAGACATGAAGTCTGTGAAGCTAGCCCTGTGTTAGGACGAGAAATGGTCCAGATTCATGGGGGGTAGAGGATTAAAGGAAGTAAGCTTATGTCCTTTTGTGACCCTAGAGCTTGTAACAGCACACTTCCTCCTATTCAGTCATTTATGTACACAAACATGACCCCACCCAGTGTCACAAACCTCATTTCCCACATTTGTCCTCTTAATCACACTGAAGGCTATTAATCAAGCACTTGTATTGCTGTTTTATATATATTTTTTGCCATTTCTTTTGAAAAACATGGAGCAACCTGAATCATAGGTTCATTGCCCTCTGCTTTAATATCACGTTGCGGTCGACTACAGTTCCAAATGCAATCCCAATGGTATTGTGAGAGAGAAATTAAGTTTTTAAAATGGCAAAACATTTTTTCTTGCAGACAAGAATGCAGAGTCTCCAGCCTGACCCCGCAGCACGCTACAAGAATGTGATGGATGCTCTTCGCCGGATCGTAGCCACCGAGGGTGTCTGGCGTCCACTAAGAGGCCTGAATGCGACAGCCATTGGCGCTGGGCCTGCTCACGCTCTGTATTTTGCCAGCTATGAGAAACTCAAAAAGACTCTAAGTGATACCATTCATCCAGGCGCTAACAGTCATTTGGCTAATGGTACCATAAAACTAACCCTATTTGTACATTCCTTTTGTTTTGAATCTGACACTCCAACAAGATGCTCCAACTTGTCAAACCCTAAAGCTAAACATGCATCTTTCAAGCTCTGGGTAGCTTTCGGCTACTAGTGAATTAAAACGTTTGCATTTTTATAGAGATACTTGTTTTCTCTGTAGAGCTATCAGCTCCTTCCAGCTTTCGTTATAGTTTGAGCTATCATGTTTGAATTCGTCTGAAAGAGATTCCAAAGATTCATTTTGGAAAGCTTCCTCCAGATTTCCAACTTGCTGTTATTCTGTCATTCCTATTCTTTTTTTATTTTCTGGTTTAGTGGGTGGCTGGGTACTGTCTCTTTCCCTGCTCTTTCAAGTGTTTGAGTTACTGTCCACCAGGGGTCTCTCTTTGCTCAGGTTTGCTAGTATTGAAGGAGGTTTCCGATGTGTATAGTCACCAAGTGCATACCAATTCTGTTAGGTTAACCTAATTTCTTGAGCGTAGTGTAAAACGTTTAACTGTAGGAGTTGATGCTCAGACATGACCAGGCAAGTTCTGTTACAAGTGAAAAATTTCCTCATGGCTGTATTTGTTTATTTATTTTTTTCCATCTCCATGTGTGATGACTGCAGAAGTGTATCTGTGTGTGTGTGTGTGTTTCAGGAGCAGCTGGTTGCGTTGCCACATTGCTTCACGATGCAGCCATGAACCCAGTAGAAGGTAAGGGCAAACTTTGTACTGTGTTTGGGTTTTTTTCCTCCTCAAAACAGCAATTTTGAGTTTCAGAAGACACTTGTGGGTGCCAGGCCTCTGTGAATTTTTCTCCATGTCTGCCTCAAACCGGTAGTTTCACCCACTTTCTATTACAGCTGTCCCTGACCCACCTGCCCAAACATGTCAGAGGAAGGGCACTCATCTCAGTCCCCTGTGCAGCTGTTGGGTGGGCTGCAGCTGTCTGAGCAAACTCAGCAAGAATAACACACAATTTTTCTTTTCGTAAAATTATTGACAGTTTGAATCTTTAATATTTTGTCACATTGCAAGCCCAGATTTCAGTGCATTTTTAATCTGAGCTCTGACTCACTCACTCTACCTCATTGAGAATGCTTTGATCTAAGCAATTTTATTGTAGTTCTGGCTTTGTGGAAGGTGCCAATAAGCCAAATTAGGTCTCATCTGACCAGAGAACCTTCCTTTGTGTATCTACTGTGTCCTTTAGATCATTTGTGGCTAAGAAGGAGAAACTTGCCTTTCTTTTTTATTTTTTTATCAAGTCATTCAGGTCAGATTTGTGGAGTGTAAGTATATTTTGTCAGATGTTCCCACCTGAGGTGTTGATCTCTGAAGCTCCTCCAGTGTTGCCATGGGGGTTTTAGCTACTCCTCTGATCAATACTATGCCAACCTAATTTCTCATTTTTAATTTAGAATATTTTTTGTCTAAAATATTTTTAAAGTAACGTATCATCCTTTCCTCTTCACTGTTTTGTTATGCTGATTATGCTGTTACATATGCTGCTTTGTTTTGATCTGTCACATGAAATCTCAATCAAAGATACATTTGATGCCCATGTTTTTATTAAAAAACAACCTTCCTTCACATCTCATATTGACTAGTTGTTTCTTGTCTGGTTCTCCTCGGTGCTGTCAACGCTGGACTTGCTGGGCTCCCTCCTCTCATTAACACCTGTACCCCACCTGCCTTCAGTTGTGAAGCAGCGCATGCAGATGTTTAAGTCCCCCTACCGGGGCGTGCTGGACTGTGTTGGCGCCGTGTGGCAAAGAGAGGGTCCTGCTGCCTTTTACCGAAGCTACACCACCCAGCTCACCATGAACGTGCCCTTCCAGGTGCTCCACTTCATGACCTACGAGTACCTCCAGGAGCTGCTCAACCCTCACAGACTGTACAACCCCTCGTCCCACATGGTGTCCGGGGCTCTGGCCGGGGCGATCGCAGCAGCAGCCACCACGCCTCTGGACGTCTGCAAGACCCTGCTCAACACCCAGGAGTCTCACACCCTCAGCTCCGCCGGCCAAAGCCAGGGAGCCCACAGACATGTCTCAGGTCTGGTCCACGCCTTCAGGACGGTTTACAGGCTGGGCGGCCTGCAGGGCTTCTTCAAGGGAGTACAAGCGAGGGTCATCTACCAGATGCCCTCCACAGCCATTAGCTGGTCTGTTTATGAGTTCTTCAAATACGGACTTACCAAGCGCCAGCACAACAATATGAGAATCCAACATATCAAGGCTGAGGTGTAGATTTCCTATGGGTTTAATCGCCTCTCCTATACATCAGGCCTTGCTGTGGCCACATGCGCACATATAACCAGATGAAATACGCCTCAGTCGTCCTGATCTTCTCAGACAGAGCAGATAAGAAAGACACCTTCTGAACCATTTTAAGTAATTTTACATCTGTTCATCATTTCAGCCATAGGATACAACTTTTACACAGTATTTTCAAGTGTCATTAATTTTAAGTCATCCCTTTGAAGCAGAGTTTGGCAGTCAGCAGTGGGCAATCAAAACCCTCTGTCAAGGGTTTACTTTATGAAACTTTGTTTTTGCATCAGAGTTTTAATATAACCAGATAAAGCTTTTCAGATAACATAAGTCTACATTACATGTTTGGAATTTAATGTAAAATAAAACAACCCCTACTAGAAAAATTGGTTTAAATTGTTATGTTGCATAAACATACATATATATGTCGTATAGCTATATTCAGATGCTTTTCAGGGGGCTTTTTCAACACAATCTGTCAAATTGGTAATTTGCAGAGAAGATTCATGATGAAACATATTGAATAAAACCCCAAGAAGCTACAGTTTTAACGACATGGGTCAAAATATTTAACTTGTTGATCATAAAATAAATAATTTATTATTTATGTCGGTAAAAAATAGACCCAGTGCAGGACTCGGCAGACAAATACTCTAAAAAAATTCCTCATTTGTTTATTTATAATTATTTCGTTCAGAGGTTTCTTCAATCAAATGTATTTTGTCATTTTTGTCCCTGCTTTTGAAATAATTTGTCTGTTTTCAGCTTTTTTGAACTACTGAGGTTGAATGTTTGTGCACGTCATTTTTTGTTCTTACTGCGACCAAAAGAGGAGCCGAATTCATAACATTTCACACACCCAACCTGAAGCTGTCATTCTTACTTGCTGATGTCTGTTTCTGACACTGAATTGCACTTGTTCAATAAAAGTTCAGCAGAGGGGCTCTGCTCACTGTTTGTAAAAGAGAAAACCTCTCCTTTTATGTGTTTAAATATGAGACTTCTACACTCCTGGAAGAAGGTGACTTAGTGGCTAGATTTACCGGGCTGATGAAGGGTGAGGCTGGACTAAAGCATTGTTTAGTCACAGGTGAGTTTACCAAATTTCACCATTTTACATGCATAATTAGATATTTTATATTTTAACCCTAGTATTATAACTCCATTGTCTTGTGGAACCTTTAAATGATGCTTGTACACTGAGGGAAACATTTCTTCAAACACCCTGGAGAGGACAGAAAACACAGGCGAGTAATTACATTTTAAAGCTGCAGTCGGTAACTTTTATAAAAGAAAATGTTTATATGTTGAAACTGTGACTACATCTTGACCGTGAGATAATCTGTGAAAACAAAGTCCTTTGACTGGTTGTTTCTGACTGAGCAGTGTTTCTCTGCAGGTGGCAGTAGGAACACAGGGAGGAGACACAGAAGCTATTTTTTTTTCTGCAGATTCTGTTTCATATTATGTCAGGACATAGTGACAGATTCTTTCGAATATATGCAAAAAAAAGTTGTACTGCAGCTTCAGCAAGCAGCTTCTTTACACTCAGTGCTCTATTTGTCCTTTTTAGATAAACATTTGTCACATTAACAACTTAGATCTATTTGATGTGTTTAAAACTAGTATAATTCGGCATCTCCAATCCTCTTGAAATCACATTTGCTCTTCCAGCAGCTCTTGAATTTGAGTGTGCAGCTATTTTTTTTCATTCATTTCGAGGCAGGTACAGTTGTTTAGTCTTGAGCACAGGTGCAGATTTCAACTTTGACCCCTTAGACGTTCAGAAATGCCTTGTGACCTAATGGGTGCATAGCCTACATCCAAACAACTGCAAAAGTAACACTTTGGAATTTGGCAAATGACGCATGACAAAGTACATTTTGATAGAAGATGCAGATGAGTTGGAAAGCGCATTTCAGAGATGACATGGCTTCTTGCAGTCAATACAAGCATTCCAGCTTATTCTTCTCCATGATTTTGTGTGAGAGGGTTTTTGTTTATTCATTCATTTTTTTTATTTTTGCAAGATATCTTTACATATAGATATCTGGTAGCCTAGAGTCTTAGATATTTTCTAAATTTACATCTGAAATATGAAACAAATGTGTCAAAATGAGAGGTTATCTATAAATTGCATTAAAGAAATTACAAATCTGTTCCATAACCAGGTTGTTCAATCTTTCTGCATCTTTTAATGCTTAATAACAAAAATTCTATTTATAGCCTTTTAATGTATTTCATGTTACATGCACTAACTACTAAATGGTATCCACAGATTCTTTTGTATTCAGTTCTAAGTCTGATAGTCCTAATAAAATCCACTCATTAATCATTAATCCTCAGAAGTCACCTAATCAATAAATAGTCTTCACCAATAATTAGTCCACTATTGATAAGTAAGTCTCAGATATACTCTCTCGCCCTCCTATGTTTTTCATTTAGCAAATGAAAATGATTTGGGGAATTGTACCTGAACTACAACAAGAGAAGTTTGGTCTGATTCAACTTCAGACAGAAAAAAATGTGCATGTGTGTTTTTCTTTGTACATTTCTGCTTTCAATTGTCGGATCAACCCCCAAAAAAACCAGAGGAAGCAAAAGGCTTTAATGTGGAATGAAGGTTCACCATCCAGCAGGACAACAACCCTTAACTTATATCCAGGGCTACAAGGGGGTCATCAGGATCAAAGCACAATCATTTGTAAAATTAGTTCATCCGAAGCCCGGACCCCAGTTCATTTGAGATGAGCCCTGAAAATGACTGTGCACAGAAGCTCTCCATCCAATTTGACTGAGACTTGAATATAAATGCACACCTCACTTCTTGGACTTTTACTTTTCAAATAATCAGAAAACAATTCATTTTTCTTCCATTTTATAACTATGCACTGCTTATGTTGGTCAAAAAGTAGGGAAGGTTGTGGTTGTGACATGACCAAATGTGGAAAAGCACAATGATGGAAAAACAGCTACAACATACTGGAGCTTATGCAGTACTTTGGTATCAGTTGAAGAAAATAATTATAATAACATCTTATTAATGTTTCTCTTTTCTAGATTTGTTAATGAATTAACTTTCATTAAACTGTAATATTGAATATTCAACTTTTGTCCAAGATGATAATGCGAGTAATTGCAAACTTCATTAACATGCATTTTTGAAAAAAAAAAAAAAAAACATCTAAGGTTTTCTGTCTCCATTTTGAACCACTGCAACGATTTTTTTTCTGACATGCTCACATCATTGCTCCATTGAAAACAAATCTGAATGAAACCTAAATCCATTAGCAAGCACTCACTATGTATACTTGTGAGCTTCAGAGTAGCAGACTTAATGCTCTTACAGATTATAGTGAGGAGTGACAACTCCTCCTTACCAGTCTTTCCATACACACTGACTCATAGCCATGTTTGTCTGGGAAAACACCTGTTTAAACAAGGAAAGCCTGATCTGAGTCTGTCTGCATGCATGTACAGTATCTACTTGTATTTATGGTTCCTAATAAACTTAAGAGGAGGGTATTTGGAATTCTCTTCTTCATGAATACATCTATTGACTGATAGCCAATAAAGAAGAGAAATGTGGCTCTAAAAGACAGTGAGAGTAAGTTTTTGTCTACTTAAACTGTTTCTAGTTGCTCTGTGTTATGATCTGTCAGGGCCAAACTGATCACATTTCAGCAGTGTGAGAGAAACAGTAGGTGAGAAAACAGTATTTTCAGGAGTCCAAAGAGTAAGAGAAAAAAAAGAAGTATAGCAAACACATAAATGTGCACACATGTAGCCCTGATCAAAAAGAATTCTTCGTTATATTTAATGTACGCGAAAGTTTATGTGACTTCACTTAAATTAACATACAGAGTTTTCATCCATTTACAAAGTTCACTTACAGTCAACTTAATTCAACTTGCAACTGGCTAATTTACACACACCACAATTGGTGTGAATAAACTGAGGGTAAAGAATTTATTCCTGTGTCTAACATCTATGGCATTAAAAAAAGAATGAAAAAAGTAAAATGAATAAATATAATAAAGAAATGTAGCTAAGCTTAAAAGTACAACTGCATTGCTTTTCCACTGGTCTGTCCTACACTTCCTCTTGTGATGAACTCTGCTTTCAAGAGGGAAGTCCATAGAGCCACATATGGAAGGATGTTTGTTTTACTTTAAAATAAAAAAAAGGATCCCTTAATACTGCAGCGTAGCCCAGGTCTTTGCTTGTACACAACGACTCAGCAGATCCTCAACAAATTGTTCAATAAAGCGGAAACCATAGTGGCTGGAAACAGAAATCAAATGATGTGGAGCTTCCATGAAGATGATGTTGTATTTTATATCATCTCAAGGAAGCATTTCAGCATTTCAATTGCCATTCAACAGCATTTTCTATAGTTATGAACATTTTCAAATATCCATTACAATTTAAAGCCAAACAAGCTATTCCTTAATAGCTTATCAACAATAAAAACAAATGATTAAGTGTTCATTGTACATCTCTATTTGTTGTGCATGTTTTACTTGGAGCAAATGCCTTATTCCAGCTACTGTTTGAACTGCTTTAGAGTAATTCCTCTCTTGCCATTCCAAGATTGTTTTAATTTGACTTCGTCAGAACAATTACACAGGATGCAAAGTCATAATGTGCCAAATTGAATTCAGTATTTTCTTAACCAGTTTTCTTCTTCTTCAAAATAAAGGAAACACATGAACACTCTCCCTCGTGTATTACCGTAAGCCAGTGTTTTGGAAACTCAAGCCTGCGGTTAAAGACTCTTAGAGAAGCACCTGGGTGTTCATACACACAAACACACTAAGACCTAACACATGGGATCAAAATATCTCTCAGTCGCTCACTTTCTCTCCTCCTCTGTAAATTAATGGGAGTGTCAAGGTTTATCTTCTCAGATCTCTCTTAGTATATTTTAAGCCAGATCCTGACTACTCCTCACAGAATGAGTTACAGCGTGACATAGGATTGTGCCAGAAAATGTTGACTATATTTCATAAGGCCATTGGTTGAAGAATGAGGTGCGAATATCAACTTCTGATCTTACTCAACAGGAAACTCTGCCACATACCGACTGTGATATCCCGCTCTGTCGGGGTGCTACTGGATGAAGGAGCTGTTTCTGTAACTCCTTTTGCAGCTGTGGAGTAAAGCCGACTTGAAGAGGTGGAAAAACGAATGCTTTTATGACAATTTATTTGGACATGAATGCTTTAACTTTCGCTCAAAGCAACCCACCTTAGCTGTCATGTGAGCTCAAGGTGTGGTACATCCTCGTCAGGTATGTTGGTCACAAGCAGGGTCGACCCAGAAACACCCAGACCATGATCATCCGTATTTGCTCACAATCTAACAGTCAGTGTAAGCTCCCAACTACGCAAGAAAAGTCAACCAAGCTTCAAATAGGTAACCCTCTTTGGTGACATGTTGTATCTCTTTGCAACTACAAGGCACTTTACAGACTAGCCTTCATAATTTAATATTTTTCTACATTATTAATCTTGAAGTTAAGTTCTTATTGGTAAGTTCAAGTTAAGTTCAAGTTTATTTTTAAAAATTTGGACAATACGTGTTCATTGAAATTGATATGCAAATACATGAGATTATTAGTGTGTCAAGTCATGGAGGTCTTGACACTGTAAAGTTAAAAGTAGCTAGCAGCATTAAGGGACGTGGCCAAGAGGTCTTTGTGCAGTAATAGGTCATTATCTCTCATGACACGATGAGAAGATTTGTCTAAGTCTCATCTAGTAAGATGAGTAGAAATTATTCAAGAAACTATGTCATTACCCTGTACACTTCAGACACTTATTATGTCCATATAAAATAGTTTTGGAAATACTATTTTCCGTTCTGAGGAGCTCAGATGCTTTTTTTTTTTTCTACAGTGAATGTTGTAGTTTGAATCTCTCCCACACTTGCACCATGAAGAATAAAGTTGTGGGGGAGATGCAGCTTC